ATATCTAACGAAAGGGAAAGAAGAAAAACACGGCAAGTGTGATTTATGTGAAGCAGAATCACGACATTTAATAATTATCAGTTGTTTTTCTCCTCTGTGTAGTCATTGAAAGAAAATATGCGTATCTATTTTCTTTCCTCCCTATTTTTATTGCCATGACTCATCACGTATTTATTTTAGTATGGTGTATTGTGTTACACCTAATGGATGCTTACACTTATCTGATAACAAGAAGGGAAAAATCGTAATAAGAGGAAGTAATGTGAAAAGCAAAAATATACTGAAGATAGGGTAAATACATGTGAGAACAGAGTGAAACCTATGCTGCCTTATTGTGTTCAAAAGACATGAGAGGGGGAAATACTTGAGTATCGAAGATATTTACTTGGAAAAAGACAAGACGATAGTGATTTTCAATAAATGAAATGTACCAACAAAAGTACCTAAACTTTTTTCTTAGTTAGATGAAATATAATGAACTGAGCCCGGCAGATTAGAAAAGACTCGTGTCTATCGATCTTATGTTACGTTCTGGCTAATCGAAAAAGGTGTGGGTGTGGGTTCAGAGACAGTAAACACCTACTCATACCCACACCCACTCCCACACCCACACCCACACCCCACACCCGCCACCTCACCCACACCCACACCCTCAAGTTCAACCTCCTCGATTAAGTAACAAATCAAGAGATAAGAAATTGATGACATGAAGAAATAGTCTTACGTCTAACAAAGAGGGACAAGAATTTTTTTGAGCCCGCAATTAGAAACATTTGAGCCCGATGTAATTCGTCCGGGCTCAAAAAAAATGTTTTGTGTCTTTTGACTCCGAAATATGAAATGAGCGCGATTATCCATTATCTTGAGCCTGCTATAGTTTATTTAGTTTGAAAAAAAAAGTAACCTTGACTTGAAAATCACATTCAGGATATTTTCTGTACTTTGAACATCGATATATAGCCTTCTTTCCAGCTTCAATTTCTTCTGTACATTTTATAGACACAGCATTTTGTACAATATAGGATTGAAGTTCATTTTCACTGAAAAAATTGTCGACAAAATTCCACGTTCGTTTGGCCATGGTGAAATGTTTAAGAAATTCAATAGCACACGTGTAAGAAATTCGAAAAATACTGAATGCACAAATTACGCATCACGATAATCTATCGTATTGGTAAAATTTATCATGCACGCGTCATCTACACAATATCTTACGACCGGGGCTAAGATAAGCTACACACATTTTGTACATTCACTGGTAGCAGAGTCAACGTAATTAACGTTGCTGATAGCACTCGTGAATTTAGAAAGTGTGTGTATCTTATTGTCACCTACGACCGGGCTCAAAACAATGGATAGCCGGGCTCATCAGACACAAAATATTTTTTTGAGCCCGGACGAATTTCATCGGGCTCAAATGTTTCTAATTGCGGGCTCAAAAAGATATTTATCCAACAAAGAGTATGCTTTCAAATCAACTATTTTTCTATCAGCGCTGTGTCATGAGATTGAAAAGATGTTTCTAGTCAACATACCATACACATCGAGAGACTAAAAGTAACGTTCATGTCGACCAAAAATATACATTTCTCATATGCGTTTGTCCATGATACTGAGGGTGTGGGGTGTGGGTGTGGGGTGTGGGTGTGGGTGGGTGTGGGTGTGGGTGTGAGGGTGTGGGTGTGGGTGGGTGTGGGTGTGGGCGTGAGGGTGTGGGTGTGGGTGGGTGTGAAGTGTGGGTGTGGGTGTAGATGAAGAGAAGATCCACACCCACACCCACACCCACCCACACCCACACCCACCCCAAATAAGAATACTTAAAGTGGTTGACGAAGGTACCTGTGATACGGTCTCCTACATAAGAATTGTATCTCACAGACTCCTTGCACTCCGGTGTACTCCCGGAGTCCAGGGAGTACAATGGGAGTACGGGAGTACGTGATTTCCCCCTTCTGAAATACATATAATTTCGACACTTTTTTCAATGTCCTTTCAATTATTAATTTATAGTTATAATATTCGTTTATTTCTTTTTTTATTCAAATATTAATTTTTTTCCAAATTTCGCTATTGTCGATGATTGACAAAAACAATTTCATCTATTATAGGTTTCATTGTATTAAATAAACGGCCTAGATCTATGCTTCAACAGAAACTACAATATATTGTAATTCATTTGAATAGCCAGGACGAACATTACGACAGCCATATACAATCGTATATGACGTCGTTTGCCATCGCATTCGTACAAGCTTCTCCTTAGTGAAGAGTGGACAACTGCCTGTTACCTCTTCCCTCCTCCCCCCTTACTTCTCTCCACATTTAAACTGTTATTTATTGTCCAACCCTACCATTTATCACACATAAACGCCGTTTTGGAGCAGAAAATACGAAGAAATCGGCCTTACAAACAACATGGAAACGTTATTTTAGGTATTTGATGACCAGATGCATAAAATAACGTTTCCATGCTGTTTATAAGGCCAATTTCTTGCTATTTTTTGCTTCGAACCGGTGTTTAGGTACGATAAACGGTAGTTTTGAACAATATAGAAAAATTTAAACGACAAAATACCGCTTCCTCAACTAACTGGGATATCTCTCCTTCCTCGCTTCCCACTACCTTGCTCGTCATACTCAATATAAAGAACTACTTACCGTTGATTGTGCCATTACGATAGATCTAAATGAAAAATACAAATCATTCAAATAGTAGGATACTTACGGTTTGATTTATCGTTGTAAATAATCTGCAAATAAAAAAAGTAAAATTCTTCGAATAGATGGATACTACTCTTTGATTTATTGTTGTAAATAATCTAAAACTAAAATTTGTTCTAAGAGATAAATACTTACTGTTTGATTTATCGTTGTAAATTATCTGAAAATAAAAACGGATAAATTATTCATATAGATTGATATTTAGCGTTTGATTTATTGTTGTAAATAATTTGAAAATAAAAATAGAAATATTATTCAAATAGATCGATACTTACTGTTCCATTTATCGTTCAAAATAATCTAAAAAAATACAAAAAACAATTATTCATTTAAGTAATACTTAGTATTGGATTCATTGCTGAATTCAATAGACAAGCGCTGTACAGTCGACAAATGCAACTCAACCTAAGACCATACAGAGTGTTTCATAAGTCTTGAGGCGTGACAAAATTCGCTTATATGGACACACAGAACAATGTCTAACGAGGGAAGTACCCGAGGTGTCCAACTCTGCTTTGATTCATTCATATCTCATTCGACAGAACATATTGAGATAAGAAAAATCTTAAAAGAATTTGGGTCCATGTTTCTTCCTTCAAGAGTTATGGCCACTTTGCTGAATTTTCGAGCCATTCTTAGGTATTTATCAGAGAAACTAAATTAAGGAATTTCGACCTGAGATTTTGCCTATCTATAGGTCCAGTAGGCTTCAGAATATCCTGAAAGTTTCAGCCAAAAAAGAATGTTCTCCTCTCGAGATATTGATTTTTCAAAAATAATATTTGTGCTCCATAGATAGATCGCAAAAACTCAGTTCATTTGAAAAATCAATATCTCGAGAAGAGATCATTCTATTTTGGCTGAAACTTTCAGGATATTCTAAGGACTATTGAACCTATAGATAGGCAAAATCTCAGGTTGAAATTCCTTAATTTAGTTTCTCGGATAAATACCTAAGAATAGCTCGAAAATTTAGCAAAACGGCCATAACTGTTGAAGGAAGAAACATGGTCCCAAACCCTCTTAGGATTTTTCTTATTTCAATAAGTTCTGTCGGATGAGATATGAATGAATCAAAACGGAGTTGGGTACCTCGGGTACTTTCCTCGTAAGCATTATGTTTCTATATCAGCTTCGAGTAGTCGTGACGGTCTTTCAAATGATATATTATGGAATAACATCTTTCCTTATAATAATAAAGATATAAACATGAGAGCGTGTGGACAAATTTTTCAAAACTGATCAACGGGATTTTTTAGAGACTCTTTCATAAAGTGCTGAACACATTCTACATGAAAAAGGCGCAGTAGAAACCAATAAATATGTATCTTTTTCATTTATTCGGCGCTCATCATGAGCCACTGTTACATGTTCAGCCAAGCTATAACTTATACTCACTAACCGGTTTGAAATGGATAAAATATATGAAAATGTCATGTTCAAAACGAAAAATAAAGAACAGAGATTGGATTTTGAACTATCAATATATTATTTAATAATTGAATTTTACTTGAAGAAGGTGATGCTAAATTTGCTGACATATAGTCCATTGAAAAAATACGAGGAGAATAATTTTCAAACATTAAACAGCTAAAAACTAGATTGAACAAATAATGAAAAAATAACTTGTAATGATTGTAAAAAGATGATTGATAAAATTCCTAAGAAAATTGACGAAGTAGTAAAAAGTGGTGGAGAACAAATACGTGATTGTTAAATGAGATTTTTGCGTATTCAGTTTGATAGAAGTATTTCTAAAATAGATTGTTTTCTTTTTTTAATAAAATATCTTGTTGGTCGATTTCAAAAAATTTATTCTCACATTCTCATGTTTATATTTTTATTATTATAAGGGAAGGATGTGCGTGTGGGTGTGGGTGTGGGTGAATAAACAAGATAAAGATACACAGACACCCACACGCACACGCACACCCACACCCACACTCTAGCCACCCCACACACACACACCCCACACCCACACCCACACCCACACCCTTTGTTACATTGTCGAATATATTGAACTGATTTATCCGTTTATTCGAATATCTCATCAAATCACTTGTTAATCTATATGTATTGTTTAAATAAGGTATTGTATAAATCTCAGCTGAATAATCACCTAAGATATATTCTACAAATCAATGATGTTCTTCTTGCCAAAAGGCAGAATGAAATTGTTTGAATTTATCAAGAATATCTTGCTCATCTTGTCGATAAGAAATTTGAAATTTGAATTGAAAACAAGTTAACTGAAATAGTGAAGATATGATTAATTCTTCTCAATGATAAGCATCTATTATCTTTCTTTCATAATCAGCAGATATAATCATTTTTTTTAAATTTGGTATATGTTTTATGAACATTTGCAAATCTGAAAATGTACCTTGAAAGTCAAATATAATTAATTGTTTTAAATGAATACCTTGATAATCTTCTTCGAATTGAATCGAATTATTCGAAGACATTTGATGCTGAAGAAGATTTGAATAGTTAAGATATTTTAACATCGTTACAGTTTTCAATATTCGTTGTAACGAATGCAAATTACAATTTGGAATTGTTAAATTTGTAATTGATGAAATTTGATCAATAAGTTCTAAATGTTGATATGAATCTGTCACTACCAATGTTCGTAATTTCGACATCGAACATTCAATTAGAATATTTGTAACTGAA